AGCGTTTTACATTTATGATGACCGGGCGAGTATACAAGGCAAAAATGCCACACTATTGTGTTATTTCTCAATTTCAAACTACTTACAGTGTTTCTCATATAGCTCTTCTTATGTTGTATAAATATTTTATATTCATATTGTGTTTCAATTTAAACAAATGCTGTTTTTATGAGATAGATAGGAATTCAGATACAGGGTCATCAGATTACTGTTTGTTTTCTGCTTACACTCTACTATTGTTTTCCAGAATTCAGTTAAACATGTATTTCATACTGGAAAAATAAGACGAGTACATATAGATGATATATATATGCCGTACTGCGGAAAAGTCTTGAGCCTCCTATCATTTCCTTGTATTTTGCTTCCAAGGATCCAGATTTTTATCTTGTTATCTGTTAAAGTAGTCTCGTAAGATAAATAGTTTTTTTCTGACTGTTATGTGTGACAACTCAGCCAAGAGTCAATATGCCAGATTTAAATTGTATGTTTTAGCACTTTGTTGCTAGCTTAATTTTCCAGCCTGGAAATGATCCCACACTGGAAGCAGTGTGGGATCATCTTGATGGAGAACAGAACAAAAGGCAGCCAACATCAACACAAAGAAGAGCTTTGAATGTTCTTCAAAAAGCCTGGAGAACTATTCCTGACTACTTACAGAAATTACAAGAAAGCTACCCAAGAAAGTTCAGGCTGTGTTAAAGAATAAAGGAGGCCGTAGCAAATACTGACTTTCAAGCTGCCTGTAAAAACTCTGTTTTTGCTTCATGCACTGTATTTCAATCTATGTTTGCATCTTTCAAGAAATCACTGCTCCTGTAGCATAATACAAAGAAATGGGGGATGGATCTTCTGTACAGTACTGCACATGCACCCACTGCCCACCATATGTTAATTAAACTCATAATAAAGGTATTAGTCTAAAGCGGTGCTAACAGTCTAAGCATGCTAGCACGTTCACCGTGATAAAGCTAACATGCTGATCACAGACAGTATGAAAAATGGATGTAGCTACAATTACATCACCATAGTTTCTAAAGTCCCATTTTGAAGTCTTGAGATGGATTTTTCCACCATTACCTTCTTGGTTGCAAAATGTTAAAATGCACACTCAGTGGGGCTGAAGACTTGTGGCTGAAGCTTGTTAGCCAGTGAGGGTTTTTTGTGTGTGACCCGAAATGAGGGACTGAAACCATAAAATCAGCAGTAAAGTGTGTAAAGAGGCTGAGTCAGAAAGCTGTTTTTGCCTCAACTTCTAAGAGACTGGGAGTGATTTTGCAGCCACAGCTATCGCCCTCTGGTTTCTTTTGGATGGAATAAAACCTTCCAGGCACTTCTGCATTTGACCAGGAAACAGCATCTATGTTTTATTCTTCCTATGATCCTGATATTTAGCCAGTAACATCAGCCGTGATCAGTTCAATTTTAATTTTATTTATATAACATCAAATCACAACAACTGTCGCCTCAGGGCACTTGAGGGTGATCACCATCAAAATATAAAGTCTTAGAAAATGTTATATATACTAAAACTGTCCTATTGAGGGTTTCAGATAAGAAAAAAAGCACCCTGAATGTTGGCACTTGCTTTAATGACAATCCATTTGGTAGCTGTTGAAACATTCCACTCAGAATCACAAATGTCGCTCTCGTAGTGGTGCAAGGGAAAAAGTAGACCACCAACGGCAATCAGATACCTTTTGGGAATCAAAAATGTTTATGTACAAATATCCAACCATTTATTGGTGCTGTATTTCAGTCTGAGCTAATGTGGTCAGTTTGACTGCACACAGTGCTACACTAATAGCATGACTAAGTATATATTATAGATTGCAAATTATATCAAAGGATCAAACTAATTTGATGCATTAATGAAGAAGGCTTGAACTTTTTTTGTCAATCACTTGCCAAATTTTTATATTCCATTTCAAGAAATGTTTATTTCATGGCATACACTTTGTTAAATTATGCAGTAGTGTCCCATGAGCGAAAACAGCCACGAAGCCTCTTTTTTTTCTTCGATAATGCTCTCATTTCATGTTTTACGTTCACTTGGGCCTCCTACTCCTAACATAAACCGGTAGTTTAGAAAGAAAATACTGCACCACGGTAAATGGTTAATGGCCTGTATTTGTATAGCGCTTTACTAGTCCCTAAGGACCCCAAAGCGCTTTACACAACCAGCCACCCATTCACGCACACATTCACACACTGGTGATGGTAAGCTACATTGTAGCCACAGCCACCCTGGGGCGCACTGCAGGCGCACCACCACCAGTAGGCAACGGGTGAAGTGTCTTGCCCAATGACACAACGACCGAGACTGTCCAAGCCGGGGCTCGAACCGGCAACCTTCCGATTACAAGGCGAACTTCCAACTCTTGAGCCACGATGACCCAAAGCAACTCTGACTTGCATTCTTCCCACAAACCACCTATTCTTTGCTCACTACTGATTCCAACCCAGTCTGTTACACGGTTATACAACTGTTATTTAGTATTATGTTTCTTTTCTTTGACACAAGAAAAACAAACTTTAGCTTTTTTATTAACTCAAATAAAATATTACACGAAACTGCTAACAGCTACTAAATATCAGGATTATGCAATGGTAATGTTACACAGCCCCAGAAGGGTCATGGTAGAAATTTCTGTGTTGACAGTTTGTCTGCCCATTTGTTATTTTCCCCTCACACTCGTCAGCTTGCATTAACTTTAATTAAGTTTTTCCATTCCCTCTGGACCATATATTGTATGATATAGTATGTATTATAAATAGACTGCGGCTGCTTTGACCACAGGCACCTTTACCTGTGCTCAGGAACAATCTGTACCTTTTGGAGAAAGAAATAATATCTTGATGAACTAAATCAACCAGTCGTCTTACCATCAGCAGCTAGTATTAATTGAGACAGCTGCTGGGATCATTAAATGATTGCATGACCCGACACTGCGATTGTGTTGGTGGTCATGTATGTACTGAAAGATCTTTGGATCTTCATTATCACGACATTAGTAACAGGGCAGCACAGCAGGCACATGAGTGGCCAACTTTTACCATCTCAGACAGTTTTTAGCCTGCACTTGTTTTGTGCCAGAGGCAACCCCAAACCATCCTTGGATATTATCAACACTGTGTTTTATATTATAATCTTTTGTACTGCCTCGACAGAGTCATTGATGCCGTGCATTTTTATAAGCATTGCACTGAACTTCCTCTATAGGTCGGCTGTGAGCGTCCAAGTAGAGGAAAACTGAAATGTGTGCTGCATGCAAAAGCCGTGAGTTTTACTTCGAGGGTGATGTTCTTATCTCTCCATATTTATTCACACCCTGGGAAACGCTAGATTGAGAATAAATATGCCAGTTGGTCCAACATTATAATAGGTAACTAAAACTAAACTAAAAACTGAAACCAGATGTGAAAAAATATTTCAGTAAAATAAAAACTAGACTTTGAAAAATTACAAAACTATGATAACTCTGTGTTGGTCAAACCTCGGATTAAGGAGGAACAATGTGGTTTTCATCCTGGCTGTGGAACGCTGGACCAGCTCTTTATCCTCTTAAGAATATTTCAGTATGTTTGGGTGTTTGAGCCACCAGTGTACATGTGGTTTGTGGACTTGGAGAAGGCATTTGACCGCTTACTGTCACATTGTTACATGCCTTTCGGTCCATGTCAACTACAGTAAGAACCTGGTTATCGTTGCCGGCAATAAGTCAGACTTTTCCCTGGCGGATGGTGGGCAAGGCTGATTCTGTTTGTGATCTTTACGGACAGAATTTCTAGGTGGAGCCAAGTGCTAGAAGGATGCCACTCTCAGAGTCTTATCGCTGTTTTTTGCAGATGATGTGGTTCCTTTGCCATCACCAGGTGATGACTTCCTGCTTGCACTGGAGCAGCTCACAGTTGTGCAGTGGTCAGAATGACCATTAGCACCTTCTAGTCTGAGGGACAAGCTGCTTTTGTTTATGAGTTAGGGGAGGGGAGTGAAAGAGTGAACAGACAGACTGGTGCAGCATCTGCAGTGATGCTGACACGTCTATAAAAACATCGCTATCAATTTACTGGTTATTCTACATCCCTATGTTCACCTCTTATCACAAAGTTCTGAGTGATGACAGAAAGAATGACACTGCAGAAACAAACCCTTTCTTCAAACGGTGGCTGTGCTCAGAAGAGGAACTCAGTGTAGAGCTGATCCAAACGAGGTGGCTCAGGCATCTGATTAGGATGTTTCCTTGGCTGGGTTTTCTGGATAGGCCCGGAACATGCGGCGAGTTTGCATCTTCATCTTGTCAGGGTGTTTACGTCTTTACGTTGACTGGATAAGCTGGAGTTGGCGAAGTTGGAGAAGGAGGTCTGGACTTGGCTGTGACCCGACCCTGGATAAGCTGTAGAAGATGAATAGATAAATGGAAGAAACACTGCTGTAGATTAGCCTGGTTATGCTTTTTGTCAGAAGCTTCTTGTTTTTGGTTTGTTTTGTCCGGCTTTGACTCTTTATGATTGTTTGTGCTATTGCACTGAAGTCTCTAAAATTGCTACTGTTATCTCTGACATAAACTGTAGCAGAGCTTTCTGGGTAATGTCCATTAGAGCAGTAAAGAGGAGTTACAGCAGCATCTATCCATAGCACTATGGACTGAACCATAAATGTAACATCTGAACATTAACCATATCCACAAGCACAGCTTTAATCAGCGCAGCCAGAGAGGGCTGCTATGCTGCTTGTGTACATTGATGGCTTTGCCTTTCAAAAGGAGGAATGAGCAGCAAAGGATCCATGTGTTCATCATCTCTCATTACCTTAGTATCTGCAGTGTTTGCATTGTGTAACTTCTCTAACTAGTCCAAATCATGAAGCGATTGAACAGATCTGGCAGAGAGCATTGAGTACTGTCCATATACACATGAATACCTTTGGATAGGTACAGTAGCAGCATTGATTTATGCCTGTACTGTGTAATAGTTATTAGACAATGTATTCTCTTCCACAGCAATGGTGGTGGCCGTAGTGGGACCTTCTGTGCCTGCAACATCCTCATCGAGATGATCCAGTATCAGAACATGGTAGACGTATTCTATGCTGTCAAAACTCTACGCAACTGCAAACCCAACATGGTCGAGTCTCTGGTATGGAAGTTTAGTCTAGTCTGTAAATTAATTGAAAAAAACCCAAATTCAATACATTTGAGATTTTTGACTCTAGTTTTGTGTTTTTCCTTTTTGTTTCTTTAGGACCAGTATCGATTTTGCTATGACCTTGTCCTTGAGTACTTGGACTGCTTTGAAGGCAGATAGCAACTAAACGTTTACGACAGCAGCAAATTCCCACGCGCTGGAGACAAAGGTCACCCGGTGACCCCCCATCTACTTAAATGTTTGGACCTGTGAAGTTGGCTTTGAAAGGACTGCAGAGGAACGAGAGCAAAGAAAAAAAACATGGTCAAGGTTCTGACTTTTAACCTTTAATGTACAGCTGTGATTTCCTCCTTGTTGGTGATGTTTATCTCTTTTGATATTTTTTTTTTGTGCTTTTCTCGGTCCTATTTGCCTCTTGGACTACATCTTGTATGTGCTAAGGGTTTCTGTAGCAGCAAAACAATATTTGGAGCTGCAATGTGGACCTCTCTCTTCAAAGCAAGGGTCACCTTGGCTGTGTTTCATCATTTCATTCGTACAAACCGAAGACGCTGGATCTAATTCTGGAGTTACAGCAGCATTATTTAAACGTGGAAGAGCTACATAAAATAACGGTCCACTGTGCTCGTGGCATGACTTATCTACCATACCATAAACTGCCTTATTCTCTAATGATAGGACAGATTTATTGAAACCACCAAATAAATCGATAAAGTTTTTCACCTGGGGTAGAAAACAAGAACAAGAGATTTTAAGAGACCTATATTGTAAAGCAGACCAGCCCAGTATTCAACAGTATTGATGCAGAAACTGTACAGTAGTGCAATGTGTTGTATTTTCCCATAATGTTTGTGCTGGATTACCATGTGTGCTACAGGTGGGCGTTACTGGCACTGAGCCTGGTGCCACCGAGGGAGATTCCTGTCTCGTTACTGTCACGGTGCCAATCCCACTGACTGACTTGAATCCTTTGCTTTGTTCTACTGCTTCATCTTGATATATGCCTACAAACAAACACTATGTACTGCATCAGCTAATGTTCTCGCTCTGAAGTGATTGTTTGTACTTTATACTCACCGAAGACAGCAAAAGGAGAGGATGGCGAAAGCTGTTTGAAAGGCATCGAGATGCCACAGTGTTGGTGTGAAAAATGATGCGCCATTAATGCTGTGGTGAAATGTCTGAACTGGTGCGGTCACACAGGTCTCAGTCTGCACCTCTTCTACTCATTCATTGTCCGAGGCGTTTGGTTGTGCTGTAAAAACAAAAAAAGTCTAAGAAAAGCAAAAAGAAAATCGGGGGTAGGGGGCACTAAGATGGGGTAGATGGTGGGAGTGCCATCTTGGGTCACCGCTCATTGCTGAACATATTTTTTTGATTGCAGAAATGTGGTTTTAAAAAAGTAGTAAAAGTAAGAAGCTGTTGGCCACATACCCTGCTGCTGACTTACCGCAGAGTTGATGGATAAACAAAATCCACTCTTTTTCAGCTGTTGGCCAGGGCCTGGAGAGCACTGGAACTCTTCATGCCTGAATCAATGTAAGAAGCAGTCAGGTTGGGATTTGTGATACACATAATGATCAGAGACAACTTTGAAACATGCTCTTGCAAAGACCCCATTACACAGAGGAAGAGATTTTTTTTTGCGTTATAGCCACAAAAATATCTCTAATAAGCTCCATTAGAGATATTTTAAAACATAGGCCTTTTAAAATATGTTATGCGCCAACACATCTCCCGAGACTCCTTTAAGTAGAGGTTTTCAGGGAGGGTGGTAAAGGTATCACTCCAGGACATATCCTAATGAACAAGGAGAGACAGCTTGAAGCCTGCAGAAGCTGAGAAAGGCAACCCTGCTGCTAGTTTGCAGCTCACACTCTGGTTCAGGTGGGATAACCAGAATATGTGAGCAATCTAACAGTATACAAACATCACCAGACTCCCACAGATTCTCAAATAGAGCAGCTTGTTTGTGATGAGGAAGAAGAATGAGGTAGCTACATTGTAGTCAGTGATCTGGCAAAAGATTGCTGAAGGAAGTGCCTGGACACTTTTTTTGTTAAGGGTGGAAGGAATATGTATATACAGATGTATATTATGTTATGTGAATAATATATTATATGTTTGCCCAGAGTAAAGACGTATAGTAAGTAACCACAACATAACCATAAAGCTGAATGTTGCTGTAAATGAGCATTTTGTGAGTTTTTGTCAGAACTTTTAACGACGAGCGTTCATCCCAGCGCTGCGAGCGAAGCGGCTCATGAGGCGTGTTCGGGCGCTCGTTAAGCTTTGCATTTCATTTCAGTGATTTCAGAATAACCCGATCCATATGATTTGTTTCAACCTTTAGCCACGACTGTGAGTGCATTATACTTTTACCATTCCAAAGCTTTTTATTATGACTATTTCTGAGTGACAACTGCCAACACAGGATGTTTGATTTCACTTGTTGTTTTCTGTATGAACCAACAGTACATGACTACTGTGTTTTTGATCATTGTATTTGTGGGGACATGGTGTGTATTTAATGAAAAAATAAGAAAGAGATGTATATCGGGGTAGAAAGATCTTTCTTTTGAGCGATACCAACGATTAACAATAAATGAACAATGGGGGGAAAAAAGACGTTGTCGCAGCCTTTATTGGATGTTCTGTACCAAATACATACACGGCTGAAAAACCCCAACACACAACGTGGTTTCATGATCGGATTGTCAACAGAAGCGCAGACCTGATGGCAAAAGATGGACTTTCTGTCTATATCCCCTCTGACCCACCTGCGGTTTCTCATGCGGATGTGATCTTTTAACATTTTCCCGTCACCCTGAACCGCATTGACCATTTGATCTGACCCGCCTTTCTGATCCCTCACCCTGTTTCTTTTCCTTATCTCTTTTAATCATACCCCTCCACCACACCCTGCTCATTTTCCATTACTTTCAATGTCTTTTCCTCATCGTTTTCTCCATCTCTTGCTTTGCTCCTTAGCTCAGAGTAAGGTGACTCCAGACCACAGACTTCCTCTCTTACCCCGTGGCTACGTTGAATAATGCAGCAGTCCTGCAAACTGATCCAGTCTTCAGCAGAGAGACTAGTCAGATTAATTAGAGTACAAGACCCCCTACTGTTCGGATGAGGACAATGTAGGCTGTGCAGACTTGCCTTTATTTTCTCATAGATTGATTAAGCTGCAAAAACAAACTTTAAAGGAGTGCGTCAGTATATTTAAGTATTCCTAAGTTGGTACTTTTCCACTAGTCATGTTGGTGAAAAGGGCAGGAATACCTTGTAGATTAATGAGGCAATGAGCTATTTTTATGGAGGCAGGTCATTTATACCACCCTATTTAATATCTGCAAGATTTTCTCAATTTCCCTTTTCACCTGCAGAAAGCCATTACAACATAAAATCCTTTTTTCCATCTTTTATTTCTCATATTTGACCGGCGGTTTAAATTAGCTGGTAATTGGAATCTTATCATTTAATTCTGATGGTGTAATGACTGTTGTGGTCAAGGCACTTATCACTTTGCCAGGATCCAACAGGGCTTTGTCTTTTCTCTCTCTTTGGAGCATCCTGTCTTATATTCTGTCACTGATGGGCTCGATAGATGTCGGCTTCTCCTCAGTCTCCCTGTTGAGTCTCACCACATACACTCGGATATCTTTCTATAAAACGGCTGTGACTTCCGACAGCTTCTGTTATTGGCTGATATAACGGAGAAAGCTGAAAAATTATCTAGTAATTTGATCAGGTATGATTAATGTTATTGTTAATGGAAGTTTTAAAACAAATATACTTCAAGGTATTTGGATAGACAATACAATATTGTGCAAAGTCTTGAGTGTCCCCCTCATATTTTTATATTTTGCTTCCAAGGAGCCAAGCTGTTACTTTTAAGTGGTCTTAAGCAATATTCATTCAGGTTTTCTTTTAAAGTTGGCCGCCTTTTCACTCATTTTTAGTCCAATCCTTGTATTACACCAAATATAACAGAGTTTAACATAAACGTATAATATAAAAAAAATTTATTTGCACTTATAAGGTGATTCGAAAAGTGCTATTAGTTAAAAGCATGGTTTTCAGTTTGTCCTTAAAAATGTGAGAAAACTGGACAAATGGAGGACAGAGGAAGAAGGTGCATGGCTAAAAAACTATCCACAGCATATAAACAATATGCAGCAGATGGCTTTAGTATCTACAGCATACCAGTAAAGACCAGAGTATGCATCAGGTCCTTGAGTTTATCCATCTGCTCATTAGAAATCCATTCTTAAGGAAGGGAAGCAGGTGCAGTATGCCACATTACACAAGAGCTGCACTGAAAATAAGTAGCAACAGGTCTTATTGTAAAATTTGAAACTTTTGGTTCAAATTATCATCAACATATACAGAGGAGGTCAGTGTTTACATCCATCAGTAAAACATGGTGGAGGCTCTGTCATGGTGTATGGCTGTATTCCAAACGTTGGTGTTGGGAATCTTGTCAAACTCGTTGCCGAAAAGGAACGTAGATCCAGCATGCAATCAGAAAAGCATCTGGATGGCAGTGACGTCATTTATCAGCATGAAAACGATCCCAAACACAATGTTAATGCAGTGTTATTACTCTATTAATACCTATATAGACAGAGTCCAAATCATCTTGACAGAGAGCACAGAGGCAGCCAACATCCAAGGAATAGCTTCGGTGTCCTTCAAGAGATTTGATGAAGTATTCCTGAAGACTACTTAAACTACAAGAAAGCTTGTCTGAGATAGTAAAGGTCGTGTGAAGGTTCAAAACAATAGAATGAAGGTGGTCGTATCATATATCGATTTTCAAGGTCATTGCAACTGTACAAACCCCATTTCCCCCCCTTATATACTGTATTTCCATAAATGGTTGCATGTTTCAGTAAATTGCTGCACCTATTTCCAATTTTCCAAGCAAGACCTTTTGCACAGTAAATATAAATTATTCATAGTTTTGTGACTTTTACAGTCTTGCAACTGTAAAAAGAAGCAATGTCTGGGACTCAAAAACATGCTCACTCGTTGCCTAATAGCTACAGAGACATGATCCGGGTTTTAACATCGGCAGAATGCTATTCTTCAAAGCACAGTGGTGTATCTTACTAAATGTTTAATGATTCTTCTTTCATGCCAAATGCTTTGCTAATAGATGCAGATAAAATCCAATATTCTCTGGGAGAATATTGTCACAGAAACTTCTGCGGGTGACCTTGCCCAAGCCTCAGTCAATAAGTCGATAGAGAAGATGGCATGAAAATAAAGTTGCAGGCTTTTAGAAAGTGGGATAAATATCTGGTGTATGTCTGGGGATGTATTATATGATTCCTTAGGACCAATAGAGACTTAAACAAAGTCCAGTCCACTGAGTAAAGCCATTCTTCTCTTTCTGAGCATTTTTTTTTATACTATAAACACACAACTAAACAAATACACACCATATCCACACTATCTTGTTCTACCATCCTGGTGGTACTCGGCTTCTGCTATAGAGTGCAGCAGACAAGACAGGTGGTTCAGCTTTGTGCTCAGCAGAGCGAGGACAGCGAGAAGAGCCAGCCAGATGGCTCCGTCCACCATGTTTTCTCACCGGTTCCATTGCCACAGTCAGTCTGATTGGAGCCCTTATCTCAACAGTGTGCTCCGAGTTCAGTGAAAGTCATGGTTGACATGAACAAGGGGAAGAGAGGAAGCTTCTGATGGTTCCAGCCTGGATCATGCAAGCAAACAAGGAGCCTGAGACAGATAACCAGAATCAGAGGACACATGAGTGATCCAGCCGTCCCTTTCCTCTTTATCACGCTCGCCTTTCGCTGTTGGGTAGCACAACAGTAGCTTGCCGCCACCACCAACACCGGCCACCTTTAACTTTGGATCCTCTGACTTGTGTCATTTGTGGGGTTGAGTTCAACAGCTGAATTAAGCTGGAGGAGGGGGATGAACACGGCAGGCGATAGAGAAGTTGGATAATCCAGAGAGAGACAAAAAAAAAAAGTTTGGGAAGTTGTGGTGATGAAATATCAGGATTGTGTACACAAAATCCGTCTCTGCCACCGCGCACTCTCTCGATAACAACACAATCTCAGGTGAAGCAGAGGCTGAAGTTATTTTGCTCCAAGGATAATCTCTCGTTGTTAGTACACACATAGAGATGTTGAGCCTTGAGGTTTCTGGGGAGAAGCTTGTAAACGATCTTATGTCAACATGAGCCATTTCTAGGTTGTGGCAATAATGCTTCTCCGAGCTGCCATAAATTTGAGAGATGAGCTTATCAAAAGGTCAGCCCTTAGAGGGACTGGCTTAGCAACTGGATTTATCCTTCAGTTTATTTAGAGCAGAAAAATGGGGCCACAAGCGACGACTAGCATCAATCATACTCCATTGTGATCCTTGACAAACTTAAAGAAAGAGCAGGAGTCTTTGTGATTTCATCTAAAGGCAGGGAACAAACACTGGGAGTATACTCAAGTCAATAAAGTATGGAATTACCTTTTATTGCTTTTAAGTTATAAAACATATTCAGGCATAGGAGCTCCTGCATATTACATGTCCCCCATTGAGAATGATTAGATTTGATTTCCTATTTTTTGACATCTTAGTGTTTTTGTTTTGTTTTCGTTTTATTGTTTTGGGGTTTTATGGTGTTTTTTATGCCATTAAAATTAAATAATATGAGAAGACTTAAATCTGTTATCAACTTTCAAGGCCTTCAAACTTTCCTGTCCACTCTTGAGAATATCTATTTTGTCTTTGTTTTCTAAGTTTTTTTTCTCACTCATCCTTTTTTGCCCTTCTTCTCTCTCTTGTCGCTTCTTCTCTTATCTTTCTCTGTCTTCATCCCCCCGCCTCCTGCCCCCTTCTTTCCTCCAGCAGTTGTTGAAATAGATGCGGCTATGAGAGGACAGTTGTGCAGCTGATAATACTATATTAACCTCAGGGAGAACACAGTTGTCCTCTGCTCTCCCATCTCTGTTCCACACCAGACATCCCCGACTGCAGGCCGCATTAACCCCAGTCCTCCCCCACTCTGTCATCCCTGGAGCCCTACGTTCACCGGTTCACGAAGCCCCATAGCGGCAACTGATCTTCTTTCTGCCAGGGCTGAGTAATGCCATGCTATGTGAAAAAATGTTATCTGCATCCTGAATGGAAACATGGCCCAGAACGCTATTACTTCCCAGAGTACTTTGTCTTTCACACCTATGTAGCGTCATTCACAATGTCTACATTTCATTTAGCACCTTATCCTGTGGAGAATAGTTGCGCACTCCCACACTGCCTGCATGCTCTTTTTTTATAGAGAGGATTGTTTTCTGTATATTACACACACACACAGAAAAACACACACTGAGCTAAACGTTAAACATAACTATGTATTTTCTGTACAAAGATGAAGCACATGTTGTCTAGAACAGTGTTGGGGTTGTCAAAAAAGTAATTTATTACTCATTACTTTGTTCCCCTTTTTTGTAAAAAAACAAAACAACTTATTTTAAAGTAAATTTTTGTAT